GCAGGTTGGAAGTAAGGGCGTGTGAACTCTTGGGAACTGTTTACTGGATGCCTGCCAGTTTTTCCAGGAATCTGGACTTGGTCATTCAAGTGGGCTCTTCTTGGCAAATGTTCTGATGCTCAAATTTGGTCTTTTGCTGTCTTGTGATGGAAAATTATCTGCGTGCTTTGAAGGGACATCAGATATTCTGTATATTTTCATATATTTATTAAAAGACAGAATGGACCAACTTTTGATCTTCATATGTAGCTTGGTGAGTCCTTGTTATTCCACAGTGCTCATCTGAATTGCTATCACTGCAGGTAGACTTTATCTACATAGTACAGTTTTCCATCATGATAAAATAGGAATTACTGTGTTCAATCTTTGCAGTAGTCTTCTCAGTGGACCAGTATTTAGCTAGTGATTGTGGATTTTCATCCTGTCTAAATGACCTTGCAGAGATACTAGATTTTTTTTTTCCTCAAGAATGCTTTAAAAGTAATCTGAAACTAGGATACATTTATAATTAAATCTGTTTATGAATAATTCAGTATTCACTCAAATTTTGTTATTTCTTTTGCATCTTTAACAAAATATTTTCTGTTTCGGAACTTCTTCTAAAATATTATAATTTGGTCTGTAGGGCTTATGCATTTTAGTATATTTCTGAAAAATTAGCGTATTGTCCTGTGTAATATACTGTTTAATCAAATACTGAAAGCTTGGGTCTGTTTTTTAATTAGTTTTGCTATCTGGTTTTCTGACATTGCCCTTGAGCCGGGTTAAGGAAAATAACTTGCTGCTGCTGCAAAAAAGTTTAAGTTACGCAACCAACAGAGTTTTGTAGTGTGTCATGTGACCCGTACGATCATAGATTCTTCTGTAGTCTCCAGAGAAAACAGTGCTATCCATGAAGAAAAATCTGAACATGGTGGAAATGAGGTTGAATGTGAAAAAATAATTGAAGACTACGGATCTTCAGTCTCAGCTTTACACTAAAAAGCATATATAGTTCCCTTTTTCTTCCCATATGCTATGCTATTGGTATTTAATAAAAATACACTTTCGATCTGAGGCTTTTTAGTTGTTGAAATCTGACTGTGTACCATTCCATTACCTTTTCAACCTTAACTGTATCTAGCTGTCTAACTTTTTTTGGAAGTTCACTCTTCAGAAGTGAGAGAAAGGACATCTCTTACAGTTTCTTTCCCGAGCTTCTGAAAATATCTTCCCCTAACTCAACGATATTATTCTGTCCTATGCAGTTCATTGCTTAGTCCTTTAAAATAACGCCACAGCTGGAATTTGCCTTCTTTCTGGTTCAGTCTTAGTCCTTTAGATTGATAGAAGCAAGCAGAGATCTCTGCAGCATGGTGGAACAGAAAGTTAAAGGATGAGAAGCAAAGGAAATTCATTTCGTTATTAATAATCACTAGTGGGTGGAACTTTGACTGAACCAGAGAACTAAGTTAACATGCTGTGACAGAAGCTGAAGCACCTGTCTGGGAAACATTGGCATTCACTTCTACACACATTTAGACTTCCATTGGCTATCAATGATATCTCCTTGACATCAAACAAATCTTCAGGTTTTTTTCATTTCTGTAGGCCTTCCCACAACCCTACTTCTATTTTGATCCTACAGGATTTAAGCACATCCTATTGAGAGGAGTGTTGTAGACATGTGTAAAGCTCATTCTTTAGGATTCCCCCAGCTGCTGGATTTCCAGAGCATCTAGCATATCTGCACTCACCTCAAGGTGTTTTCGTCTACGATTGGTTGCTTTGAAGGGCTTGACAGTCTCAAAGACTTTGTTCTTTAGCAGTTTGTAGACTGAATTCTCTGACATAAACTACATGCATAGCAAATACCCAGGTTTTTGGATTGTACTGTCTTCAGTCCTTACTAGATTGACATCTAGAGAGTGTTTTTGTCCTGCTGAGAAAGTGCAGTTGCTGAGAAAGGTGCATCTCTAAGTGAACCTTCAAAACATAATTTTTAGATAAGGGAAACGTGCAACTCGAGGCATCCAACAGGAAAAGGCCAAATTCATCCAACCTACACAAAATGGACACGTTTAGAAAAAGACTTGTCCATAAGCTGGAAACATGTTGGTCTTTGTGTAACTTACTAATATATGATTATCAATTAATAATTGATGACCTTAGCCTTTCCCTATTATTCCTTAAAATAACGTTAGCCCTGAGAGATGTCTGTCGAACTCTCGATGTCTCATCACACGAACTTCAGTATTCTGTTTTAAAATGCTAGGTACATATTAACATCTTTATAGTATCATCCTTTGGTTATATACTTTTTACCCTTGAACAAACCATGCCCCTTTACCTTCTGTTTCCCCAGACTTCAGTTCCTATTGTGTTCATCTCTGCTGTGTAGTTACATGCTTTGAATACAACGCTGCTTTGAATAAAATTATTTCAGAGAGAGAAGCATTGTGCTACAGAGGGGAATGAGCTCCTCATCCTCACCTGGTGGGGGGCCACGTGCTGAACGCAATCTTAAAAACTCACTTCACCTCAAACCCGTGAAGAGTCCATAAAAAGAAGGGCACATTAAGCCTGCTAGACAACTCTATAGGGAAAGGATGTAGATTATCAGACAGATTTCAGAGGCAGGGTGGGGCGGGGGGTGTAGGCAGCTGGAGCTAATTAAATGCAGCTGGCCACACTTAAGTCTCATCACTTTGAAAGAGGGGTGAAATTCAGTTACACCATAGAGTTCTGAGAGATTGTAGGGATGCATTTGTACAAGTTATAATATTCCTAGTGTTA